ACTGCCACCACTAAATCTAATCAAATTGTTCTGCATGTAGTGTCCCTGGTAGCCAGTTCATAATGTGCTGGCACAGCATATGATCTGAACAATGCCACCCAACCAGTCTACTTTGACGAAGCTCCAGATGGAGCAGTTGGTCCGCCGTCATCTGCCAGCTCTCCCTCCGCAACTTCCATCACGTCGTTACCAGATGGAGTAGCCTTGGTGATCGAGTGAGACTGCAGCAGGAGAATAGCTTCGGCGATCTCCGTCGTCAGGAGCGTGCTGTCTCGACCGCGCTCCGACACCAGTCCCAGGCGTTGCAGGCATGACATGGCGTCGCTCATGTCAAAGCGGAACGACTCGTTCGGCAGCTTGAACTGCTGCACGAGCCACTCCTCGATGGCACGCTGCAGCTCAAACTTATTGGCCGGGATCTTGCTGCCCTCAGCCATGCTGGACAAGACAAACGTGTAGAGAAGCAATGCCTCCTTGAACTGCTCATCACCGGCACGATCACTAAGCTGTGCCAATACGGCACGGTTGTTGGCCACGTTGTGGAAGTACAGCATCTGCGTCAGCTGTGCCAGGTAGGAGTTGCGCTTGTTCTTGAACGCCAGCCACGCACGGAACGTGGTGATACCGACCAGCAGTGCGCCCACCCACATGTAGCTGTGTGCACAAGCAAAGGAGAAACACAGGGGCAACGAGACAGTTAGCGTGGTCATACAGAGCTCATACTACAGTGCTGGCAACTGAAATCGCGGCACGCCGCCCAGGGGGTCGGATTTCAGTTTCCAGCACTGTAATATCCTTTACCTGGCACTGACGGTGTTCCTTGGTGCAGATAATTTCCCTCTTCCGGCACAAAGCTAAAGATGAAAGGAAATTTTCTTTTTCACAGAAATAAATGCCCAATATCACAGTTTTAATATAGCTACAAAGAGGACTAATTGTACGGTAAGCATTTCCTATATGTCGACATGTATGTGTAAAATGTTATACGACGATCGCAAGGCACACAACAAGTGAAAGAGAGGATTTGTTCAGTTTCAGTTTCACTTTTGTTGTGTGCCTTGCGATCGTCGTATAACATTTTACACATCTTAATGTCTGTGGTGTCTCCTTTGCACCATGGCTGGTAGCTCGGCCTATTTAGCTCGTAGCTGTACTGATGAGGCCTTTATGGCCGAAACAGCTTGCTGTCTACAGCATTGGGTAACATTTTACACATACATGTCGACATATAGAAAATGCTTACAGTTACTGTACAATTAGTCCTCTTTGTAGCTATATCAAAACTGCTGCCTCCGAAACGCTTGTTTACAATATCACAGTACATGCACTATCTAGGCATCACTGGGGCCAGAGAATACGTACTGGATCTGCAAGTCCAGCAGGAATGCAATGGCTTTGAGTGATAGCGTCATTACACCGCTGCTGATGCCAGTCATCAGCATGTAGCGATCCAGCTTGGACATGACCACACGACCATCGGGTAGAAGAGTCTCCAGCCTTCGACAGGGTACGTCACGGAATATCTACGGCAACAACAGTCAGAGTAATCCCAAACATGTAATTTTCGGTGTAACTTTAATTTTGGTGATTTCGGTAGAGAAACCAGGCACCTATACTAAACTAAAATTACACCTAAAAGGCACTAGAGTATGCACTGTATGTGAAGGAAACGCTGGTCGCCTAATTCTGCATTACACCTGAAACCTGGCAGGCCTCTGGCACCTAAAATTACGTGTTTTACAGTAATCCCAAACATGTACATACGGTGCGGTCGCGTATTAAAGCTGGGCTTATTCCTGTAGAAGCCACTGTCAGGGCTAGGCTTCTATTCAAACCAGGTACTTTCTACGTGTGTCAACACTAAAACCAGGCTTATGTGCAGACAGTGTATCTTGAAAATCAGGCTTGTATTCAAAATAGGCTTCTACATGAGGCGGGCTTTAATACAAGACACTATGGTACACTGCTCAACCATCCAATCCTAACGAATGCCAAGCTCTTCCCTGATTTCTTAGCATCCCACGAGGTGTACTTCGAACACACCACAGACCAGCATCCAGTTTCAGTGCAGTGCAGTGCCTCATCCAGACAACATACAGCGATGGTTCCGATAAACGAACTCGCTGCCAAAGTCAAAAATGCGTAAATGAAGTGCAGTGCTGGCCAGTGACCCTTTGCCCTCGTGAGTACGAAATAGGGTGATGCACTACACAGCCCTTGCACTATGAACACTGGGCTAAGGCCTGTGCACTCACGCAAGGCACTGCGTTATTCATGGGGACGAAATCGAGTAATTCCCTCACTGGCCAGCAACACTGTAAAGTACAGTACATGTACAGTGCGTATCGGTTATAGTGTGGTCGTATACAGGAATATACTGCTTACAAGAATGAACACTCATTTTTTCATAATCATTATGCGAACTGCGAATTACACCATGACCTATTTCAGTACGGAAGTACAGAGCCAACGGAATGCACAACAGGAGCGTGAGACAAGGGATGGGAGGAGACGGGACCTGATTGCTCCAAGGCAGGACGTCGTTGAGGAGGATTCGGCCAGTGAGTCCAGTGAGTCCGGTGAGTGTGAGAGCGAGAATGATTGTGTGAGTAAGAGTGGGTGCGAGCGTGTGTTTTCTAGTAGGAAGTCATCAGTGTATAAGCATCTTGTATCTCGTCCTGATTGCTGCAAGGTGTATTCTGATTCTTCTTTTTCTGTTTTGTGCCGTGCTCGTCATGGTTATAAGTTGCAGTTGAGTGTGTTAGAAGCTGTTTGTCAACGTATTCATAAGCCTAATCTGTGTGTCCAGAAGGACAGCATTATTCGTTTGAAATTGTTCTAGTAGCAGCTTGTTCTGTCTGTTTGGCCCTGGTTGGCCATGGTGTCGTATCTTGTGTCACAGTATACTAGTAGTCTTTACAAGTTCGTTAAGTGCTTTCGCAGTTTTTCCTGTTATTACCTTAGTGCTAGGATTATCATTTTCATAGGTGTTGTTTCTTCTCACTCCATTTGTCGGTTCAGCTCGTTCTGTTGATCGCAATTCTAAAACTATTGTCGCCTCGACGCCTATTTACATATTTTATGTGTATATTTATTCTTACAAGCAGTATTATCGCATAGTAGAATATATCGGCCCTAAGAATGGATTTTGTGTAGCAAAATATGCCAGATTAGCGCAAAGTGTATCGCCTGTAGTAATAACATCTGTGCTCTGTGCATACTCAATACAATAATTCAACACAAAAAGAGAGTTATGTCCAAGGGAGCATTGGAGAATCACTTTTTCTGTCCAGTCGGACTCTTTCTTTCGACTTCTCTCGTACCCGCTGCTCCGCAGTCGCCTAGCACGACCGCGAGTCTGATTGATCCGTGTGTACGTGTCCACATGCCAAACGTGCGCGCATATGATATGTCTCACGTGATTTATCGTGTGTAAGAAATATCGGCAATAAGAATCAAATGTCGTTTTTCAAACACCCACGCTATAACCGATACCTACTGTACATGTAAAAGCTATTGCGTGATGCTACTAAGAGCTAGCTCCATACCTTCAAAATGAGCTTGTCACTTTGGTGCTGCCTGGCCAACAACACAACACGTCTGAACGCCTCATCGCTGCCCTTCGGTGGCGGGTTGAAGCGGTTCTTCAAAGCGTCAACACACCAGTAGCCGGCCCGGACAACAAAGTGGCTGTCAGATCTATCATTTCGCACGGGTCCCTTCCCTCGAGTCCAGATCTATCAAGTGCGAGGACAACACAAATAGAGTCCGGGATAAATATCGCAACCAAACAACCACACGTAGTACTAGCAGCACAGACACAAGAATCTCATATTCTAGGGAATGCGGGCTGCGAGTGATCACCGGATCAACCGAAACAGACCAGACTCTGTGTCAGCCATAGAGTGAAACAAAGCAAACAGGTACAATGGTGACGGGGAGCATGCATGCCTGGCATTTCAAAGTGAAAACAAAGCATCCACCCGGCGCACTACCCATAACACAATGCTGACACGTAGAAAGGAAAAGGACATATGGATACGAGTCGAGAGTAACTATCCACCACTCGTATCCATATGTCCTTTCCTTTCTACATTTATTATTGGCTCAACATCCGAGTTACAATGCTGACAGGAAGGTATTACCTGCAGAGTGTCGTAGGAGTTGACATTGACACTGACACGGACACCCTCGCTGGTGTGGTGCTCGCGCATCTCCTCGCAGACCAGGTGGTGTGGCAGTCGCTGGAAGTTGGCCTTCTCCAGTACGCGGCCAAGCTGCCGCAGCAACCAGAACTCGTGATCCAGGTACTCGTTACGCGTTAGCCGGTGTTGCGTCATGGTGTCTTTGTCCGGGTCAAGCGGATCATACAGGTGCTGCAATACACAATGTACAGTGGAGAAAGTTGGACAGATGAATAAATAGACACAAGAGGTACGCAAAAGGAAATAAAATACAGTACTGCAAGTCTACAAATTTTCGACCCATTCAAATTTCGGCCTCCCAGGGCCAAAACACATTTCGGCTGCATTAAATTTTCGGCCTGTACTGTTGATGCCTGTAAACACTGTCACACTGAACCTTGCAAAACAACATTTCAGCCACAACAGATTTTCGGCCAAATGTGATCAGGCCGAAAATAGCCGATAATAAATATGCGCCGAATATTTGTTGATTTACAGTATGGCTGTTTCATTGTTACTCAGATGTTCATGGTAAAAACTAATCATCGGACAACATAAGGAGAATAGAAGAAGATAGATAGATGAGAGAGAGAGAGAGAGAGAGAGAGAGAGAGAGAGAGAGAGAGAGAGAGAGAGAGAGAGAGAGAGAGAGAGAGAGAGAGGGGAGAGGAGAGATCTGCATAACGAGAACTGTACCAAGCTGCAAGTGTAGGTGGTATAGATGTGTACAGGTGTGTGCCTGTGCATGCATGCGTACGTGCGTGTGGGCACGCGCGTGTGTACTGAGAACTATCTTCAGGGGAACATGACTTGCACATGACCCAGTGGGATGGAGATTGGAACACTAGAACAGCTCTAGTTGTGTGCTAAGGGCCCTGGTCACTAGTAAAATGATGTCACCTGCATTTACTACAATCGTCCAAAATTATGGCGCCGTCGTGCATACCCCTAGCAGGTGTGTGTTGCTTGTTTCCCTGTACCCATGGGTACGCGCATGTGTGTGTGTGTGTGTCGAGGGGTGTGTATTTGTGTGTGTGTGTGTGCATGTTTGCATACGCTGCCTACCTTCATCTCATCTAAATGATGAACCATTTGGGTAGCAACAGACTGGTTCAAAGCCAGAGCAAACTGCTCAAATTTCCCAGATTGGTCTCCATTCAGAAGTGACTTGTCCTCGATAAGGCGACGAATCAGAAAACGCCTGGACACAGGTATAAACTTCTCTGGGACTTTCTCGCCAAAGTCGCCCAGGTGAGCCACTTCAAACGTTTTAGGCTTGTCGATAGCAGCAGCCCTGCCACCCCGCGGAGCAGTGGTACTTGCTTCAGACACAACGGGTGCAGGCCGAGGTTTGGAGCTGGGAGTTGAGCTGGTGCTCTCCTTCGTGTCCTTAGACTTAAAGGGTGCTGGTGGTGCGGGGGCTTGAGATGCACAACTCCGCACTCCAATTATGGCACTGTGCAGAGGACATCGCAGCCGTGCTGCAAGGGCCATATCTGGTAGCCTGTACTTGTGTTCCTACGACAAGAACTCCCTGAGTCACAGGTAACGACAACAACTAATACTTGTGCTTTTCAAGCAAATCAAGAAAGGGAATGATGTGTGGATGTATTTTACGAAGACGATCAGGCTGCTCAATTGATCTCCATCATATCCTATCAACTGACTACACAAAGAAATGCTTCGTGCAGCTAATCCAGGAAGTATGACAGTCACTTTTGAACTTCCAAACCCAATGCTGTAGAGAAACAACTCACTACAGCATTCACCAACAAAATAGTTCATATTTCGAAAATATTTTCTCACTGTCCTTTTTCCATATTTTTTCATTTTGAGCTGCTTGTAGACATGCACGATATACGATAGCGCGCTACCTACGGCACGTACCGTACCACATGGTCGACAGCGGAATGAGCGGATATCCGGACTCAACTCCAAGATGCCCCGCCCCCCCCCCCCCCCCCTCCCCTACTTCCTCTACAAAAATAGCTCCAACACACCGGCTCACCACCTTTTCCGCTCACCCTTACCATGCTTACTGGCCTTAGCCTCAACGGCTCAAGCTTACATTGTAGGTCAATGGCAGCCTTCGCTAAGACTACAAATGTAAGAGGCCATTCACACGACGTGCAAATCGCACCGTTTCCAAGGATATTTACCATGATAACCCCAGCTGGCCCAGGGGTTATGTACTCTTGCTACGATTCAGCACGAATCAGCAGCTAGCCGGAATATGTGTAGAAACCCAATAATCGTTTAGTCATGCATGATGACGTTTTAATTTTCGTTGCATTCGATTCCGTCATCACTCAGTCACCAGGAAATTCAAACTGAGCAAACAAAATAAAAATAAAAGGAGCAAAGATGTGCTGAGTGTGTCGACTGGGAGAAACTCCTGTGGAATTCTGTATGGGATCTTCTTCTTTAGCCAGCTTCTGTCCGTCCAGAAGTTCTTCTCGACGCATAGAATGTTGTAGTATTTGGGACGTGTTCCAGAAATGAAGCAGCTGCGATGTCTTCTATCGCAAGACGCACAAAATAAATACTCAAAAATCACCAAAATATAAATACCACAAGGTGATCATGGTGGCTGTTGAACGTTCAGACTCTGCGCTGGAGAATCTGCAGACTTTAGTAGCTGATGGATTGGCTCTTCCTACTGTGTTCCAAGCACCTGCTGCGTCGTGGGCTCGTTCTCCGATATGGGCACCGCAGGAATTACGGAAGATCTCAGGTGATACTAAAACTGACTTCAGGGTATGGCCTGTGGCATCAGGATTTGTTTGGGAGACAGACTGTCCG